GTGCTCGTTGCTGCTGAAAGAGGAGTGGCCATTGGCTAACCAGTTGCTAGGGCGTTCTAGTTTTACCTATGTATAAAGTAGTAGTGTAGTAGTGATTGTTTGTGTAAATATATCTGGTTTTCTTAGGGTCTGATTGTAGTTAGTGGAAGATGTAGAGCTTATAGAATGTGTAGCATTATGGCTTAGACACGTGCAATTCTAAAACCTTCAAAGGACACACTGCTCTGAGTATTGTTAAGTCCAGTAAATGCTTGGAATGGAAGAAATCAGATACAAATCAGATACATGTACAGTACACAGTGTACCTTGAACATTGTTGTTGATGTACGCGTTGTGAAAATGTTTCAGGTTAGGAGACTGCAGATTGATGTACAGTATCATGGAAATTCAGCTTCTTTCTGTTTCCTTCAGAAACGTCAAAAGACATGTAACTGCACAGACTAAATCTGCTCTGACAAATCAAACTAATATAAAGAAAGACTTTTTACAGTATGTCATATTCACTGATTCTTGGACAGGGCTCTACAACCTTCAACACCAATAGACCATTCTTATTTATTATACCAAATAAAAGTCGATAGTGCAGTGTATAATGATTTAAATACTGTTGCCATATTACAGAATGGTATCAAATTGCACAAAGGGAAGATTTTTTTTGTGTGTGTTTCACCTGTTGGTGTCTTAGTAAAAGAAGTACATACAAAACAACATTCTCAACTTTGTTTCTACTACTGTATCTGCACTGATGATAAAAATGTCATAAGTGGTTCATGTAGATGAGGACAGTGGAAAACATTGTGTTCTAGGCCAGGTCTAATACAAACAGGGCTGACCTTAGGATGCATTTTACCACAGCCCAAGTCAAACAAAAGCAACATATATATTTTTTAGGTTTCGATACATTTTCTGCTACAATGTGTTCATAGGAAGCACCCGAAAAATAGCACCTTTTGAAAGAACAGAAATATGGATTTACAGAAATACAGATGTGGCCAATTTGCAAAATTGTGACAGTCAGTTCCAGCGAAGCATTAAAATCTACAACATTGAGCAGTATATGAATTCTTATTGTGCATTAAAGAATAAAATATATCTTAGAGTAACCAAAAGTTTTTCTGCAGAGGTTTCCTCAGCCTCACGTGGGTTTGTATACTATAGTGACGGAGACAATTAAATAACAACCACCATTTTTATTGACTACACCAACTGGCCAAACTGTGCATGAGAGAGAGAGAGAGAGCGAAGGAGGGAGGGAGAGAGAGAGAGAGAGTGTATGTCAAGTGTGAATGCCAGAGATAACCCTGACAGCAGCCAAATCATAAATCTGACAACTGCAGAGATCAGAGACTGACCATCAGGAAACTGGATGCCATAACTCCAAATGAGTTTCCAATCAATTTATAGACTGTTTAATCCTGAGAGCTCCAGAAGGAAAGCAGCTTTGATAGGTTTGAATGTTTGGGGCGGTGATATGGTCCTGTGTTGCTGTAAATTAGGTCGTATTCAGATAGGACTGCAGGATCCAAAAAGTCATTTAGTTCAACTAGATAACTTTCATACAGAATATCTCACAGAAATGATCTGGACTGTGTTCACCTTTAATGAGAAACGATGCATTTGTTTACATGTAGTTCAAGTAATCATGTGGCTGCTGACCATTAAAGCAGAGCAAGCTGCTGTCTAAAATAAGGTGATTATTATATAAGGTGTTTATTATAGATCCACCAAAAGCAGATCTTTTCATCGATCATCCGTCCAAAATAAAACTATTTAGTTCATACAATTGTTGGTGACTTCTTATGAGGCTTTTAAGACGTCCTATGTAAATGCAGTAGCAGATGTGTAACTGTATTTATAGATACTTCCTAGAACTTACTGTAAGGGAGAAGAGGGAGAAGGGTGAGTTTGTGTGTTTGTGTGTGTGTGTGTGTGTGTGTGTGTGTGTGTGTGTGTGTGTGTGTGTACTGTAACCAGACCTTGGAGGACAGGGGGACAGAATTAAGACGACTCTGTCACCACTATGTATATTGCACACTCACACAAAACACACATCAACACATTGAAAAATCATTTTCACTTCATACAGATCATAAACACCACAGAAGAAGAATCTCTTTTTAATGTGCTGTGTGTAAATTACAGATTGGAGTACAGCCCTGAGACCAAAAAAATGAATTAAGTAGATATTTTCAGCAGGTGTTGATGGACATGGAGCCATTGACATTGGACAAAAAAGGTCAGACAGTGACGAGATAGATTAGGGCTCGGGTTTGTTGAGGGCTTAAGTGGTCCATGAAGGCTCAGATGCTCTGCCAGGATGTTCTACACTTCCCAAGATATTTAAAGTTGCCCTTGAGCAGATTTGAGGATGGGTAAGGAGTCTTTTCTGCTCCTTAAGGTGATGATGTGTTGTTTCGTAAGAGGCTTTAAAGATGTTCCTGTCGTCTTTAAAGAACAGAAAAGTCCTCTAGGTGTCTAAAGCTGCAAGGAGTTGAAGTAAAGTTGTGGAATGGATGTAGGTGAGTGGTAGAGGTGATTTAGGAGAGTAAAGTTGAAAAAAAAAAAGATGTATTTTACCTGTAGTGAGACCTGCTATGATGTATGCTTCAGAGCAGTGTTTCCCAAACTTTTTTTCTGGGGACCCATATTTTAAAAGTCACAAACCTTCACAACCCAAGTTAATAGACATTTTTCGTAAACTCCTGGGAAACATGATGCAAGACGACCCAAAAAACAACTTTTGCGACCCACCTGAGGGTCGCGACCCAGTCTTTGGAAACAATGGTTTAGAGACGCTGTGTCAGATGTCCTTATCTTGTGTCGCACTACTCCTGCACTGCCTGCACTGTTACTATTCCCCCTTTCTCCCTCTATTCCTTACCCTACTCCCTGTAGTAGTATCGCATGCTGCTAGTACTGTGTGTTCTATGTTACCCCAGCGAGTCTACGGTCCCCCCATCCCAAGCATTTCATTGCATTGTAGACCCTGTGTTGAAAGTGCATATGACAAATAAACCCGATCTTGAATCTTGAATCTTGAATCTTTCTTAGCTGGCAGAAATTAAGACGCTAAGATTTTCACTAGGATTAATATGCCTTCAGATTAATCTTCATGAATTCTGACAGCCCTCATTTTTATAGTACACCAGTAATGGTAACTTGTCTTATTTTCAAAGTTCAATGAGCAGAAGTTGTCTCCTCTGTTGTCCTATGACGTCGTTTCCGTTGCCACCCACAGATATTTTAATGTGTTCACGTCCATCTTGTTTCGTCTTGTTCATTCAAACCGTAGAGGCTTAACCATGGTAATGATGTTATTCACCTTGGTTGAACTGACGCTGGATCAACATCCACACTCCGGTATGTCTCACTGAGGTCATGTTGCACCACCTCCAGGTGAACTCTGGACCATTACTGGCGTGAAATCCATTTGATTTATTGGTACTATGATGTTAAATCACTGGTCCATTTTCATAGTTAGAGTCATGAGTGGCAGTCAACTAGCTTATGACCTGTGGAATTTTTCTTGTGACCTACTCTTTTGGTTGCAGCCCACAATTCAAGAAACACTATGTATGTCTTTAATACTGTGTGTCAACAACAGAAAACGAGTAAAATACATTTGGATGGAGAACATGAAAGGTCTGTTTAAAAGATCAGATGAACTCTGTTACTGTCTCGGACATAAGAAGAAACAGTACAGTAGTAATAATGAACATCTGAACCAGACACTTAAAACCACATTTAAAAATAGACTACAATTTGTATTTACCATCATAAATCATCTGAGTGGACAGGGACCCCCACAGTGATCTGAGCTGCTGTGTACAGATACATGAGTTTGATTACAGTACACTTTCATGTCATGTTGTCCTGGTCTTAATAAAGGACCGTGCTCATAAATACAGACGCTGACTGCACCTCTGCCGTATGAGGACACTCTGAGAGAGCAGCAGGGTGGCATGCAGTTAATCCACAGCTGCCCTGGCCTGGCATGGCCTGGTCTGACCTGAGCCGAATTCACATAAACGCCTTTCCCTGGGTTAGAGTTCACCAAGTGCCATAAAAATGGTATAAAACAGGTCATTAGTTCAAATTAAATGGGTTAATTTATTTTTAGGGCCGTGGGAGTTTCACACCTTCACTGCCAGAAAAAATTAAAATGATGTTACTAAAAAAATTAAACTCATATAAACAAATAATTAGAAAATCTTATAGATGGGATCTAATTTTAATAGCCTGGAAGCTATCTGCCTAAAATTAACAAAATAAATCCAAAACCTAAGATTAAAGGTGACTAAAGGTTACTTAAAATACACAAACTACTAGCAAAAACTAAAAATTTACTCTACTATTGTGCACATTCAAGCTACAAAAGCAACTAAAAAGCTCCAAAAATAATGCAAAAACAACTTTTTTGTTAGTGGTTAGCCCAAAAGCATTGGAATTAGCAAATGATAGACAAACTGCTCACAACAAACAGAACGCAGAGAATTAATGAAAGTAATTGTAAACTGACAAAAGTCAATAATTTAATAATGTTACTGATTAGACAGTTGTCCAGACTGTAGAGCTCTTTGAAGAAAGTGTTTGAGATACCTCTGACTAACTGTATTTCTCTGAGTGAGGTGAATGTACAGAATTTCTTCTTTTTGAATTAATAACAAATGCAGTAAATCATTAAATGGAGATTCTGGTGATAAATCTGAAATGGGCTCAGTGTGGAGTAGCAGCTTAAAATACTGCAGGACATTGTTTTCGCGTTGTTTTCAGGAAGAGTGTGAAAAGCAATCTTAATCAACAGACACAGACTTTGTGTGATATCTGCCAAATATAGAATCTGAGTTTTTTTTTCACAGCTCCGACTCATTTTGGTGCTTTTGTTACTTTTACACATTAGTTCTTTTTTTGCTGCTTGGAGATTTGGCAGAATAAACTACCGATGACTTTCCAAAACAAACAGTCAGGAGGTGTCAGTAATTCTATCTTCTTGTTTGCAGGAAGTGGGAGCGGCACAGTGGGCGGGGCCTTGCCGGGGCTAATTGGTGCCACCAGTCCCTCAGTGATGATGAAACCATTCCTGCCCTTTTCTGTGGAGACATCGCCGTCACCTGTGGGACTCTTTCCAAACTTTAACACGGTGTGTGTTTGGGTTTATTTGTGTGTGTGTGAAGGACAATAACTGACTGCCTGACTGACTGCCTGACTGACTGACTGGCTGACTGACTGACTGACTGACTGGTATGAGGAAGCCTCTGCATCTGTCATCACAGCTCTGCGCATCCTGAGCAGCCTAATGACCTTTGACTTTTCCGTGTACACAGATGGATCCAGTGCAGAAGGCCGTCATCAACCACACGTTTGGTGTGACCTTGGTCCCCAAGAAGAAGCAGGTCATCTCATGTACTGTCTGCCAGCTGAGGTTCAACTCTGATGTAAGTGGCGTGAGTGTGGAAATGAGATCTTTATCTATTTATTTGCCACTGATATAATTGGAAAGAAAAACTCCCTATTATTCAGGAAAGCACACTGTAATTGAAATAACAAATAAAAACATTTATTACAGCTACATTTATTTTAATGATAAACAACACTATGATATACATATGTAAGGCCTAGCCATAAAACAGAAATAGTCACAGGTTGCCAAGTTATTGTTTAATATTATATAGATAGCTAAAACGGCATCAAATATTAAAAACAAAAGCTCTATTTGAGTCATTTACAGTTGTAAAGATTAAAACCTTTTTTTTTAAAGTTTAAAGTTTGTTCAAGAACTATCTTGGGTTTGACGTTGCACACAGTGCGCAGACATGAACTTCTGTCATAAATTTAATTAAACTTCACTATGCTGTAGTGTATTGTTATAGGAGCAGGTGTTTCTTTGCACCTTCAAATTAAACCAGTGTTGTGTAAATGACACTGATCTCAGTCTCATAATAACCGCTGAGAGCAGGCGAGCTGCTCATGAACAAGACACCGATGACAGACATGACTAATTGATGAGCTGATAAAATAATTCATGAGTGAACATGAAAACAGGAATCATTGCTAAGGAGGAGACGAGGAGGAGAACATTAACAGCATGTACAGTGTAGTGGAGAACACTCAGGATAGTTTCAGCTACATGAGGACAATCTAAAGTGTGTCACAGTGTTCGGACACAGATAAATTAAAACACGTCATTGAACTTTATTTGTGCAAAAACTTCTAATGAAAATACAACATCCCCAACCTTTTTTGAAGAAGAATCTGGCTAAACATGACCAGGACTAACCATGCCAAATGATGATGTAAAAATTGTGACTATAAAGTTATAAAATTTGTTATTTAGACATGTAACACAATATATTTTTTCTTTATATATATTTCTCTTGGTCAGACTCAAGCAGAAGCTCATTACAGAGGCAGTCGTCACGCCAAGAAGCTCAAGTCTAAGGAGAACAAAACTAAGGCCAAGCTGTCAATCACTATGGAGACCAATGGAGGGAGTCCTACAGGCTCCGCCCACAACAGTTTGACTAACAGCTGCAACAATCAGCGCTTAGGTTAATTATGATTACACTGACATTCTAATCTGGAATTATTCTCTTTGTTGAGGAAATGTTATTTTGTAACTCCTCGTCTTCTGTTTTGCAGAATTCCTTCCCAGCCTGGCTGACTCCTCAGCCCCGCCCAAACCTTTCCACATTTTCTCTTCATCTTCTTCCCCGCCCTCCTCTACCTCTTCTCCCTCCTCCAGTAGGGCAGGCAGTGAGCCTCCTCCTTCCAGCCCTCCTTTTGCTCTCCCTGCCCCAGGCCTCTCGTCTTCTTCTTTTTCTCCCTCTGCCACCTTTTCCAAAACCTCCCCTCCACCTCCTGTCACCTCATCCTCGCCCTCGGCTCATCCAACCTCTCAGGCCTCCAGTCAGGATGCTTCTGTCCCGGTTGAGTCCGAGGAAGAGAAGGCAAAAAAGCTGCTGTACTGCTCTCTCTGTAAAGTGGCTGTAAACTCCCTGTCTCAGCTGGAGGCTCATAATGCAGGTGAGTGATGAAGGATCATGAAAGCAGCATGGGTCTTATATTTTTATACTTTAATCTAGTTTATTAATTCTCCCTTCTTAATGTTTGTGTTTTATTTGTATTTAGGTTCAAAGCACAAGACTATGCTGGAGGCTCGCAGTGGAGACGGGCCCATCAAGGCCTACCCTCGACCTGGAGCTAAGATAAAGAACGGCAGCACTTTCACAGTCAAAGGCTCCGGTTTGCAGAACAAAACCTTCCACTGTCAAATCTGCGACGTCCACGTCAACTCTGAGATCCAGCTCAAACAGGTACAGAACCAGTGTGAGATCATGAAGTGAAATCCAACAACAACATTTAATTTCTATCATCATTCCTTATCATCGAAAGATTTGGTCATAACCACTATAGGTTGTTCGTTTTTAATTTTTAATGACTAAACAAAACAAACTGCATTTGTGTTCTTTAGTTATTTATCAGTCCTCTCTATGTTGGTTGATGTTGTTACAGCACATCTCCAGCAGGAGGCACAAGGACCGAGTGGCAGGAAAACCAAGCAAACCCAAATACAGCCCTTACAACAAACAGCGAAACACACTCACAGTATGTCTTTTTATCTCTCTCTCTTTCTCACACACACTCAGATTGACCATACATTTACAAGTGTACTTATGAGTTATATTACTATTATTGTTTTCTTCTTCTCCTTATCTCTCTTTTCTCCTACTCTTCCTTTTACTCATCCCCATCTTTCCTGTTTTTTTACCTATATATCATGTGTTTATTCGATCATTTCTCTATTTTCATTTCATTTTTCTCCCCAATGTTTTCCCTCGTCTCTCCTCTGCCATCTTTCTTCTTTTCCCTCCTCTTCCCCAGAAGGACTTGTTGAAGCCGTCCCTCTCGCCCTCTTTCCTTTCTTCCCCTTTCGTCTCTCCCCCCTCGTCTCTCACCTCCTCAATCTCCCTCCCTCCCTCGTCCCTGTCATCCTCCCCTCTTCTGAACCCAACTTCCTCACACCTCACCCCTGCCCTCTCCCTTCACCATCGTCCTCCAGCGTCCTCCTCCCTCTTTACAGCGTCCTTCCTTCGTCCCGCTCCCGGACCAATCAGAACGAGCCAGGGATCGATCCTTTTTGCCCCCTACTGAGGTGGTTACAGAACAACCTTTAATCCTCTGAATGTCAGTGTGTTGGGGCTGCAGTGATAGAAGAGTCCAGACGACACATCAGTTCTGTTCTGGCAGTCGCAGCGTGGATCACCTACTTTCTTCTGACTTGACAGCGTCTCCACAGAGAGACAAAAAAGACGGAAGGAAGGAAGAGGTTAACAAATCCTCACGTCAGAACCTGAGAAGAAGAAGAAGAAAAAACAAGAGTTTTATTTATGCAAAAATCTGAGATAAATGAGTTTTATAAAAAATTACAAATAAGATGCATAAGATTTAACTAATTATGTTTAGGGGAAAAATCCCAAAGAGCCGATGAAGAACATCTCCTTTAGGACAAATAAGACAAAACTGTCGACTGTGCATGGATACAACTTTGTTGACTTTTTATCCCGAAGTTCTTCCAAAAAGGATTTTTATTTTATTTAATCCACAAATTGGAGGAAACTTTGGTGCGTTTCATTTGCAGAGACATTAAGACGGACGATGCTTATTGTATGTATACAGTGTCTGAGATTGTCCTCTGGCAGACGTCCCTTTACTGCTTCCCAACGTACAGCTCTGTAACAAAATGCAAAGTAAAGAAAAAGTATTTCAGGGACAAAGATCTTCATTTTATTTATTCTAATAGTGTTGACAAAACCAGTGTGGTTCCTCACATTTCTCCATCTCTACCCTGTCATCAGCAATAATGTAATTAAAGACCTCAAAGCAGATCAAACGCACTATTTGTTGTCATAAAACTGTTTTTGAAATTTGTTACTTAATATTTACACTTTTTTTGCTGAGGAATTATTTTAGATATGTGTAGTTTTATTTTGTTAATTTATGTTAAACATGTTTGATTCTTACTTGATCTCTTTATTCATGACACAGGAACATGACACTATCTGGTCGTATCATAAATAATGCACGAGAAATGGATGAAGCTAGCAGTAGCCCGGACGTGCTCCACTGTATTCATTCTGTCATATTCATCGTGCATTATCTGTTTCCTCCCAACAGAATTGTTATTGACAGAATGTTATGTTCTTTTGACAAAGACCCAGGACTAGTGATTTAGTCTTAGGTCAACCCAAGTCAACCCAAGGTCAACCCAGGTCAACCCAGCCTCAGTTCATTTGGGTGAAGGAAACACTAAGCGTTGCCAGCAGTGCCATTACCAACATGAAGCCGACTTCAGCAGAAATGTCTTTTTGGTGGTGAGTGTTTAGTCCCATTCTGTCACCTCATTAATTTATCATTCTACTCCTACTGTTAGCCTCATACTAGTTAAAAAAATAATTTAAAAAAACCCTAGTAATTTACCATCCCAGCCAAAGGGGAATGGGTCATTGGACTGATTAATGACTGTCCTGTTCTCTGCCCACTCTGATTCAACGTGTCATTGGTATGGAACTGAAACAGTCCCAGAACTTTCATTGGTTCTAACCTCCTCTTTTGTCTCTGACAGCCGTTCTTTGTGTTGTCCCCACTGCTGCTGTTTCCTGAGCTCATCTGGACCCCGGATCAGGACGGTCCCTGCGTCGAACCACTCTTCATCATGACTCACGGTGTGCCCTCAACACTCACATTTGAACTGATTTTGAACTGTTATTTTGAACTAACATAACTTAAACTGTATAAACCTGATGTCAACATTACACGTGATGAGTTTTCACACAAATACAAACACACACCTAGACAAGGTTAATATAAATGTCACCATAGATTGCCCCAGATAATCTAACCTAAAACAAACAAAATGTATCCCCCTTTCACCTTATGCTTAGATGCTTCCTGTTAATTGGTAACCAACATCAGCACAACATATAGAAAACATAATAAGGGCCCCACATTTTATCCTTGCATCTAGAAACATAAATATTACACACACTTATTGTGTAGAAGTTCAGAAAACATCATTGTTTAGAGGGATGTTGGTTAGAGACACACATGACCTGTAATCACAAACAAAAAAGACAAAGTAGTATATATACAAAAATAAGAAGTAAACCTATAAAACTGAAGTCTATTCCCAGGGTGGTTGGTTGCCTCTAATCTTCACAGGCCAATTCAGAACCTCTGTACACTCATTAAACAAGTTTAGATTTAATTGTGTAGAAAAGCAACGTAAATCAAGCTAGCTTTTTCCACAATGTCTGACATGTGTTTCACTGGCCTGGAATACAGATGTGTCTCCAAGCACCTTCAAGTCTATTATTCAGCAAAAATCCACTATGGACTGGTGTCATAAGTAGCTTCCAGGGTATTTGAAGTTGAAGATAAGCTTTCTCTGTCTTTTCTAAACCAACCGCTATCTGGATTAGACCTGTTTGGGCTGGAGGTTCTACGACAGTTTGGTTATTGACTGTTTGTGTGTCACCCTGTAGTTAATAATCCATTGGACCAACCAGAATGATTAGTCATTTCCCCCTGAGTGTTGTTCAACAGAAATGAACCCTTCATGTCACACAAGGTTTACTGGATTATGTTTCCTTATCCCTTGATAATTCTTCAACAATTATAAAAATAACATCATTGGAAGTGAGGCAGCTTGTGCACGACAGCGTTGCTCATTTATATCGCTTCTAATTCCTTTAATATGTAGATAAGAAAAGAGAACTTTATTGATCCCACATTGGGGAAATTGTTGCGGTAACAGGGAATCTGCTGCCCAACAGGAGGTGCTGTAGGGTTTTTATACTATAAGTAATAATTAAATTTCAACAGACAGGACAATTAGATGTCCCTACTGTAGTTAGAAATATTCAGATAACTCTTACTTTGTTATTCTATTTGCTAAATATAGTATGCTAAACAAACAGAGGTGAGAGGGGAGGAGAGGGGAGGAGTTATTTCGATTGGTGCAGATAAAAGAAAGATGCAGTACAGACAATGTTAAACTGCTGAAACTCCTTTTTAATCATACTTCAAAAATAGATTTTCTTTGAGATAGTGTTACCTAGACTGGTAAAATGCTTATATGGTTTAAAAAAAGAACAACATTTTGATACTTAATTCTCAGAAGGTTTTGTTTTTACTTACAGCTTTAATTAATAATTGTACAAAACAATCATTGTTTCTAAAGTTGTTCTGCAAGTTTTTGTATCTACACCAACAGGACTCCGTTTGATGGTCTCTGCTGCTTCAGTGTTTGCAGTTCTGTATAACAGAAAATAAAATAATTGACAGAATTGTCCAGATTACGTTAAGACTGGAGTAACATGCAGAGCTACGAGGATGCAGTATCGTTTCTGGGAAACTGGGGTCCGTTCCAGCGGAGAGTGTTCATCCTCCTCAGTCTGCTCTCCATTCCCTGTGGATACGTGGTCCTTTCAGTCATCTTTCTGTTGGCTGTTCCACCTCACCACTGCTCTATCCCAGTCAGCAGCAACCTCAGCCAGGACTGGATTCAGGCCAGCATCCCAGAAAAGGTAAGAACCAATTGTAAATGGAAACCAATCTTTCTTTTATTGAGTGATGTCTGAGTGGTAACTCACAGAAAATAATGTGTATATATTTTATTAACTGTATATTTGAAGTCCTTTAATGATTTTTTATCTGTGATAGATAACTTGAAATAACTTGAAACTGACCCATATCAATTTGTAATCGGTTTCTATCATTCCCCCACTTCTACTTTCTATCTACTTCACAGCCATTTAAAATAATTAATGTATACAGTAAAACAACCAGATTCTACAGATATTTGTATTAATATCACCTACAGAACTTTTCTTGTTGATAATCCTAAGGAAAGGCTTGAATACAACTAACAAACCATGAGGTCTTGACACAGTATCTGTCTTTTATTACACAAACATTAAATGGTCTTTTATCGCTCTTCATCTTTTCACTGTTTATTTGTAACTTTTATGTTTTAACTATGTGATATATTACATAGTTAATAGTAGTAATGCAATCCTAGGTAATTAAATTGAAATGAACCACTGAAAGAAAATAATATATAAAAATATTTGAATAAATTTCAAGTTCATGTCATTACTCTTTGAAAAATATACAAAATGTGAATAAATTAGGGATGTCTGATAATATCTCTGTATGCTGTAAAAATAGTTTTGGGGATAAACGGCTGTTTATGAAAGTAAAAGTCACTAGATGGCAGCATTGCAGCTCATTTTATTAATCTATTTTCATAATCAGGGGATTCTATGCAGAATGTCCCAGCAACATAGTACAGTGGTTTCTACAGATAAATAAATAAATATTTCCAGGCCTATATCGATATCGGTTGATATTGGAATCAGAAATTAAGTGTTTGGAAAATATCAGCATAGTGGATATTGGGGGAAAAGGACATCCCTAGAATGTATCATATAAATGAATTAATTTATACATAATATTACATTTATAATATATAATTATTATTTCAAATATATTGTAAATCATTATTACTACTACTACTACTACTAATAATAATTAATATTAAGCACTTGATAAACAAGCATATTAAATGTACATACGTTTGTGTCTATGTACATATATATGTTTAGATGTATGTATGTGGTTATTAAATATGACATGGGTTCCAGTTATTGCTGTGTGATGTAAGACAGCTACAGGTTGAGGTTGCGGTAATGATTTGCACATTCTCCTGTTTCCTGGTCTAATTACAGCCAGACCAATCAGGTCGTAACAGGTTCGGTTTGAACCGTGGTGATCTCTTTAACTTCTGACTTTGTTTCAGTAAATTATTGACTGACAGTGTTTCCTTCACAGCATGTGGCAGGGAAGCTGGAGCGAAGCAGTTGTAGCCGGTACAGGTTGGACCTGGTACTGAACCTGTCAGCGGGGGAAGACTCACTCCACGTGGACCATGTCCAGAACCTATCTGTGCTGTTGGCCCAAGTCCCGTCCTCTGATATGATGCTGGAGGGCTGCAGAGATGGATGGATTTATTGTAAACAGTACTACCAGTCTACTGTAGTCACTGAGGTACTGGAATACTGCTGAAATACAACATCATACAACATACAACATGGTACAATTATAAAAAAAACATCAGTAAAGTACAGCTATACCCAATGCCAGAGTTTAAATTTCAACTTAAAAATTAGAGAAAGACTTTCACAGACAGGACTTTTGTATTTTATATCATGTGTCATATTTTCCAAAGTTCTCAAACAAATGTATGTCCAAAAATATTCAGGTATAAGAAAAAATAAATCCCTATAAAAGTACCAATATAAAATACAGTAAAATTAAATTACAAGTGAAGACCTAAGCGATGTAATCTGTGGAAAATTTGAATTTTCAAATTAAATAAAAACTTAATAATTGTTTTAGTGTGATCCAAAACCGAGGCCCTATTGTAAATGTTTATGAATGTTTTGAAGCCTATGTTTTATTCTTTTTCACCAGTTTAACCTGGTGTGCAGTGACCAGTGGAAACAGCCGTTGGTTTCTTTATTGTACTTCGTGGGAGGACTTTGTGGATGCTTCATCTCTGGACAGATGGCTGATCGGTATGAGAAATTTAAGTCACCTAAATATATCTGTTATTTTACCCTGATGGCCTAAAGTACTGTTTCTTCAGTGTGTCACTGCTGATGCCTCTGTGTGGTGTTTGTTTTCCAGATTTGGCAGGAAACCTACACTGTTTGGTTCCCTTCTTATTCTTACCATCTCTAGCACAGCTGCGACCTTTGCGCCCTCATTCCCTGTCTTTACAGTTTTGTTCATGTTGATGGGTTTTAGTCAGATGGCCATCTACATCACTATTTTTGTTCTGGGTAAGTTTCTTTTGGATGCAGTCGCCCCTTGATTTTGATTCTGAAATTTGTTTCCTAAGAACAGGATCAGCAACAGCTTCGTTTGAAGTATTAAAAGGCAAAAGTTACATTTTCAAAAATATTTAAAATGTGTCTGTTTACCAGCAACAGCTTTATCATTGTTTTTATAGATGAAATAACCTGTATTTTTCATTTTTTTGTTGGATTTCCAAACAAGTACATTCAAAAATAATGTGTGCTATTGCTCCAGTATTGTTTTATGTTAGTCTCACACTAGACAAAAAAGCAAATACCACAACTAGTGTTTACCAAACCGATGCAGGTGCTGTATAAGTATTTTCTATTTTTAAATTGCCGCTTCAGGCTAATGTCCCAGACACTTTTTTTAGGTAGAGTTTGAACAAATACGACATGAACTGTAGGACAATAATGGCACTGTATACACCAAAGAAACACCGACCAGGAAAATGCTTTGCAGCCAGTTTTATTTTCTTCTCATAACAAATATTCATAAACAAACGTTTCTGTGTTAAAGAAAAAGTCTCCAAACTCCATCATCACAGTATGTTAAAAAACACATAAAACAAACCAAAAAGAAACAACTAGGAATAAAAAAGAAAAGAAAATTTAGCATAAGAAATGTTAGCATTAAGAGATTTTTAATAATCCTGCTTGTAATTAAGTTTTTTTTTTTCTCCCAGGTTCAGAAACTCTGATTGGTTCAACCAGAGTTCTCTTCTGCAGCCTGTGTTTGCCGTTTGTCTACAACACCGCAGTTGTAATGCTGCCATGTACTGCATATCTGGTCAGGAACTGGAGACACCTGACGCTGCTCATTGCCGTGCCCGGTCTGGCCTGCCTGCCTCTGTTTGGGTAACAATGGTTTAAACTGAGATGATTCTGGTTACCTTCTTTGTTATCAGCTCTGTTTTTGTCAAGGCGGATCATCTGCCTTCACCTCTAACTTAAGTCTGTCACTGTTAAACAAACCAATCTTGTGTGTGTGTGTGTGTGTGTGTGTGTGTGTATGCGTGTGTGTTTGTGTGTGTGTGCTCTGCTCACCAGGTTAATACAAGAGTCTCCTCGCTGGCTGGTTTCTTGTGGCCGTTTAGAGGAAGCAGAGCGGCTGCTGAGGTCAGCCGCTCTGCAGAACCGGGTGGAACCCCCAGCTGTCATCTTCCACTCGTCTATGGTTTGTAACAAACCCACATCACAATCTTGTCCTGGGCAGTAAAGGTCAGAGGTTGTTTTACTGTGGTAAATGTGGTTTTTATCAGGTGGAGAAGACAGAAAAGGAAAAATCTGAGACCTACAACTTCTTTCACCTAATGAGGATCAAGAAGATCCGACCCATAGCTTTCATTCTGTGGGTCATATGGTGAGTTTAAGTACTTTCCATCTTATTTTGTCTCCTCCTGCAGCAGCTGTAGAATAAGGCCCATGGGTTATATTGTTACTCTGAATGTGCCGTAAACAGTCATGTATTTTTGTCACTGTTGATGCAGCATTAGCTGAGGGGAAGAAAAACAGAGGATTTATCGTCACCGTGCCATCGTTGGCAAACACTCATTTCTTTTCACCACTTCTTGTTTCAATTGCAGGCTGTCCACGAGCCTCAGCTTCTTTGGGATATCTTTTAACCTGTCCAGTCTTGATGGGAGTCCTTTTATCACCTACATCCTGTCATCAGCTGTAGACTTTCCAGGATATACAGTCAGCTGGTTGACGGCTGGTTATTTTCCCCGTCGTCTCTCGTATATTGGCTGCACCCTTGTGAGCGCACTTGCTCTCTTTCTCCTGCAGATCACAATGCACAGTGAGTAAAGCTGATACACGACAGTTCATGTCTTCTGATTTTTTTTTTTTAATACTTAAACTGCACTTACTATTCTGTACATGCAATATGCAGGTTCCACCACTCTGACCCTGGTGCTGGCGCTGCTGGGTAAATTTGGCATTTTGGCTGCAATTGGTGTGATATACGTGTACACTGGTGAGCTGTTTCCTACAGTCATCAGAAACACTGCCATGTCATCCTGTGCCATGTTCGCCCGGCTGGGCTCATCTGTATCGCCCTATTTAATGCAACTAGGTAAGACGCTCAGTGTGTGCAGAAGAATATTTAAAGATACCACATAAAACAAATGAATGACCCAACTCTAAACTGAGATGTCTGTCTTCTTCAGCTGTGTTCTATGAGTTCCTGCCCTGGATCGTGGTGGCCTCTCTGTCATTGGTTGTTTCTCTTCTCTGTGCATTTCTGCCGGAGACCTTTAGGCAACCACTTCCTGACACGATCCAAGAACTGAAGCCAATACAGATGTAAGTCAGCATAACTGATTTCCTCAGTAGTATTCTCTGTAGCCGACAAACTCATAATACATGGTTCCTAAAGTGTGGGAGGGTGGTGGGGGGGGACACCTTTTGTTATTATATAGAGTTTGCAGTAGGTTCAATTGAATTTTATTTAAAAAATGTTATAAACGATTTGATTAAAATAATACGCTGTAACTCTGAGGTAATTATGGTTACCGAGTGATGTCCAGTAGTCCCCAGTGAGAGCAACAGCAGATGCATGTTGTAAATTTGTCGCTTTTTCAGTCCTCTCCTTTTCATTCAACTTGTGTATTCTTCGTGTGGTTGTGCGTCTTGATAGCATCTCAAACCTGCAGTCATTTGTTGCAATTCTCACAATGTCTAGTCATCCAGGTCATGATCAAGGTTGAAAAGTTCTGTCAGGCAACTGGATGTGAATTTTCTAAAAGAAGACGTTTCACCTCTCATCCAAGAGGCTTCTTCAGTTCTAACTGGTGGTAAGGAGTACAGCAAATATATACAAATATATAGTAGCATTATTCTTTATTCAAGAAGCCTCTTGGATAAGAGGTGAAACGTCTTCTTTAGGAAGATTTCACGTCCAGTTGCCTAACAGAACTTTTCAACCTTGACCATGACCTGGGTGATTGAGAATCTTCATAGATATGAAAAATAACTTTTTTTTTCTATGTTTATAGTAATCTTGAGGATGGTGTTTGTAGGGGTCATGACTTTAACCTTTATGTAACTGAAATCAAATATATACTCTATATTACCAACAATGTTTTTTAGTGCTGGTAAGAAAATTCATAGTGCTATATTAAATAGTCAATATTGTTACTGTGTTTCCATTAAAAGTCTAATTATATCTTTGATGTTTGCTCAGATTTTTAAGTGATAAAATTCCTTAAAAAATAATATAGAGAAATCCAAGAGACGTCATCACGGGTTTTTGCAAATAAAATCTGAAACCTTTTGATATTAAAGATAAAAGTTTTTTATCAAATCCTTTATAACTATTTTTAAATAAAATTCAATTGAACCTACTGCAAACTCTATATAATAACAAAAGGTGTCCCCCCCCACCACCCTCCCACACTTTAGGAACCATGTATTATGAGTTTGTCGGCTACAGAGAATACTACTGAGGAAATCACATCCAGTTGCCTAACAGAACTGTTCAACCTTATTTTTTCATAAATACATCGTCTTCAAATATTGTAGTCAGTATTTAAGTAATGTAATTAAATGTAAAATAAATTATCAAAATTTAACAAGCATACAGTAGATTTATCCAGATATTGACAAGATATATTGAAATCACAAACAATGTATAAAATGTGTAAAAATGTTACCTTTTACATGATGAAACTGTTTCAATGTATCTTGCAGGTTCAAATGGCCTTGTAGAAACGGTCCTACCTCCAAGGATGATCTAAGGCCAGATGCACCTGAGGTCCTCCGCTCAACACGCTTCTAGAAAACAGTCAAGAAACTGGACCAAAAGTTGGAGGTTTTATTTTCTCTACTTATCCACAATGCATAATTTAAAAAGTCAAGAGTTTTCTGTATGCACTCTGGATCACATGTTCAAATGATGTGTCATCTCACTCCAGAGAATTGCTCATTTCAGTTCGTCCAAAGCACTCGTATGCTTTGGACAAACTGAAATGAGCAGTGCCTCATATGTTTAGAAATAAAATGCGTAGTGCATTTTATAAGAGGCATTAAATGTGACCGTAAGTACAGCTTTTTTTTTTTATTATTTGCTGGAGAAAAAACCCCAATGTCATTTGAAACACAGTTTTATATAGTTGAAAACTTGAAATGTTCACTGCCATTTGTATTTGTAAAGATTTATTTAGTGTCTTATTTTTAAGCAGGACGAAGAATAAAACTGCTTATGTGTATATTTAATGTAGGGTTTAAATTGGAACTACAAGGTCAATATAATCACATCTGTTTAATTAAATGACGTAATGTTGTGGAATATTTGGATAATTAATTTTTGTCGTTATAATAATTGACAAATTATTTTACTCACGTGCTTGGAACGTAGAGGAGGCTTACCATCCAGCATGGTCTGGGTGTATCTGAGAGATACTGTCGTCGTGTCAGGTGAGTGTGCCTGTAGTTATAAAACAATTATGAGACTACAACATTATATATGCCATTTTGATATGTTTATATACTCAAAATGGACGGAGCAACCTAACAGAGACAAATTAGCTTATACCGTTGTGGTGATATGCCATGTTTGTAGTCAAACTGTGGTATATAAACTGTTGCTTGCAAACTTTTCATTCAACTTTTATTTCCATTATCTATTGTTGTGAAATTTACAATATTTATTGTAATATTGTATATTGCGAGGTCAAGGTGACAGACTGTAAATCAAAATGCTCAGAATCGATTAAATATTAAGGACACCACTGAACCTATGCTTTTTTGTACGTTATTCAATCTGTCTGTCTGTGGGTTGGGCTAATCGAGTACTTCTCAAATAGTGGGGCAAGACCCTTGCACCCCCCCCGGGGGGTCTTGCAATGGAATACAACATGCTGGACATAAGTGTAACAACAACAAGCCTCCAGTCACTAGGTGGCAGCAACAGTGGTTTATACAGATAAAAATGTTATTAAGTTCTCAATAGTATTTCAGTTTATCCCCGTAAATTGAAATACTTAAGCCTTACCTTCACAAAAAATGATGGCAAGGCTATAGTAAGGCATG